CTGGTGACATCACTTAATTCCAACATTATAATTTATGGTGATAGGAACATTATTTGGTTATTGTATTACTATACTTAGAAAACTGGAAAGAGACATTATTTTTGCTGATCTACTTAATGTACCATATATTTACCAGCAGATTTACTCTCCTGAATGCCTACTCCAGTGGTGGGTTGCTTTTCCCATTCCAACCGGTTTGGTTGGAATGGGGCCGGCAGTGTCCTCATGCATGCGTGCAGTTCACGCATGCGTCTTAGCGCCTGTGCGATGCTCCAGCTGCTCGCGGAGAATCGCGCAGGTGCTGTGTGTGCCAAGCGCCTGCGTGGAAGTGCAGAAGCCTTCAAAGACCGGTAAGGAGCGCGGGCAGGCGGGTGGGCCCTTCGGCGTTCCCGGAAGTTACTTACTTCCGGGTTCACCGACCAACCGGTTCGTGGGGACTGCCGCGAACCGGTTGAAATCCACCCCTGGCCTACTCCTTTGTTAGTCTATCACTTTCCTGTCCTTTCGAACTCCATGTTTTAACATTTCCACATTTCTCTTTTTTTCGAAGGCTGCAGCCATGGCTACCTCAGCAGGGACCGTGTCTGATGATGCTGCAGAAGAAGGTGGTGGGGGAAGGATGTCTCACACTTCTTCTGAGTTCTCCAAGCTCAGCTCTAAGAGTGCCAAAGAGAGACGAAACAGAAGGAAAAAGCGGAAGGAAAAGGAGCTCTCGGAAGGAGAGGAGAAGGGAGATCTTGAGAAAGTATTTAAGTCAGAATCAGAAGATGGAATGAGGAGGAAGGTCTTCCGCTTGCCAGACAACAGGCTAGGCCGGAAGCTCTCCATTATGAACCAGGTAAAATCTCTGTTCTCTAAGTAAAATTTCCACATCCAAACTTTATATTGTGCCAAGGCTGTGTGAGAGAAGGATGGACTGGCTTCTTTATCCACATTTTCAGATAGCAGAGCAACATGTTCCCTTTTATAATCAGTGTTTTAATTTGACTCTGTGCATGCAGCAATCTTTGACACAATGGAGGCCTTGCTTCTGTTCCATCTTCACGTTGCTTAAGCTTTGCAGCTACTACTACAGGTAGTCCTCGACTTGCAACAGTTCATTTAGTGAACATTTGAAGTTACAACAGCACTGAAAAAAGTGACTTCTGACCATTTTTCACATGATTGTTGTAGCATCCCATTAGTCATGTGATAAAAATTCAGACACTGGGCAACTGACAGTTAGCAACTGACAGTGGCAGTGTCCCAGGGAGGGGGGCGTATGTGATTACCTTTTACAACCATCTGACAAGCAAAGTCAATGGGGAAGCCAGATTCACTTAACAATAGTTTTACCAACTTAACAATTGCAGTTATTCACTTACTGTGGCAAAATAGGAAAAATTCACTTAACAACTATCACTTAACAACAGAAATTTTGGACTCAGTTGCGGTCATAAATCAAGGATTACCTGTAATCTGACAAGTTCAAGTAATAAGTGTGAACAAAAGAGAAGTAGAATGTAAATTATGTATTTGTTTTGAAATACTGTATTTTTGGGAGTAGAAGACGCACCTTCCCCCCCTAAAAGAGTGTGGAAATGTTGGTATGTCTTCACACTGAATACAACCATTTTATGCCTCCCAAAGTCCCACCCCTGCATACCATTTTTGCAAAAACAGACAAAAAAATGGACTGTTTTTTTGCAAAAACGGAGGCATTTTTGCCTTCCCCCAGCCTGCTGAAGCCCACAGAGCACTCCTGGGGACCGGGGAGGACAAAAATGTTTTTTTCTTACTTACCTCTTCAAAATCTTGGTACATCTTATACACCGGTGCATCTTACAGTACGAAAAATGCGGTAATTGCCCAATTGCTTGACCACAGACCAATGGTATATTTATGAGGTATTTTCATGAAGAATTTATTTCCTTTCCAACTTTTTTTTATCCACAATGTCATTTCCTTCAGTAGTTGTACTTTATGCATTCTTGCCTCTGTTGCACAATTCCAATTTTGTCATCTTTGTTTTCCTTTTCAGTCACTGCTTAGCATTCCAGGATCGCCATATCTCTCTCGACACAACAGCAAAAGCAGCATTTTCAGCTTCAAGAGAGGGTTCCGGGATCCTGGGTCAGAGAATGAATTTGCCGATGATGAGCACAGCACAGTGGAAGAGAGCGAGGGCAGGAGGGATTCACTCTTCATCCCAATCCGAGGCTACGACAGGAAAAGCAGCTACAGCGGTTACAGTGGTTATAGCCAAGGAAGCCGGTCATCACGCATTTTTCCCAGCATCCGTCGGAACATGAAGCGGAATAGCACTGTGGACTGTAATGGTGTCGTCTCCCTGATTGGTGGCCCAACCTCCAACATCCCCAGCGGGCGACTTTTGCCTGAGGTGAAAATAGATAAGGCAGCTACTGATGACAGTGTAAGGAAGTCAGTGAGTAGATAGTCTAGGCATGGCGGTCTGCCCTTCTTTCTGCTTTCCTGTATGCCGCCAAATGGATCCCTGATGGAATGACTAGAAATTGGTTTGACATATGATCGTCTGAACCCTCTTTCCAAATTATTCTGCTTTTAATCCTTATTTTTCCTTCTACCTATTCCCATTTTCTTCTACCTCTTCCTTTGGACTTCTAAGAAAACAATGGCTTGGAAGCTTTTTTTTTTAAAGGAATATAATACTGATAAATGTGCTATTTGTTGCATCAAAAATGTGAAATTATCTAAAAAAAAAATACCTAGAAAAACATCTGGGTATAAATGAGGTAGAGGAGATATTTTTAAATCCCACATGTATAAATAGAATTAATTCTGTGTAATGTTTTCCTCATAATTTTTTTATTTCGTTTTTCAAGCAACTTTAGTTCGTAGTTTTAAAAGCCAGAGGATTAAAATAAAATGTAGTGCAGGATCCTGTAGTGAATACAGGTAGTTCTCACTTAAAGATCTGTTGCTTAACAACCATGTGGTGTTTCAACAGACATACACACCCCAAATAAAATTAGCTATGACCCAGTTTTGAGGTTCTGATAGTTATACACACACGTGCACACATACACAAGCACAAACACATAGTCACACAATCACATTTTGGGTCCTTAGTAACCAGTTTGCATATATGGCTATTTGCAGCATTCCTTGATCACATGACCACAATTTTCAATGGTTTTCTTTTTGCCAGTTTCTGGTATTAACTTCTGGTTTCTGGCAAAAAATGTCCATTGGATCAAATGGATTTGTTTAACAACTGTGGTGTTCACTTAATGACCACCTCAAAAAATGTTATCAGATCATGTAATAACCCACTTAATGATTTCAATGACTCAGTTATAGTGATAAGTTGAGGACTATAGGTATGTTGCTGGTTAAAGCTTAACTTTATAACTTTTAGCTATACAGGCTGCAGATATCAGCAGCCTGAGTTGAGTTGTGAGATGGGAAGGAGGGGCAGAGATTTCTCCCTCACTGCTCTATAATCCATAAATAATGGCATTATTTCAGAATGTTCAGGGTACAGAGAAAAAAGATGATTTTCTCATAGTGAAAATAAAGAGACTACAGGTTGTTCTTCACTCATAATATGTCAGGCTGAATCCCAGTGACTAGACAGTAAAATCCGTTTAATCTTTTATTTGCTTGCACCTAATGGACAGAATCTTGCCAAACTAAAGTTATAAGCTTCTATCCTACTAGATACAATTTGAGAGATTCTAGGGTGAGGCTATCCTGAACTTCTTTCCCCCTTCCCCATCCAGCTCGGAACTATGCAGTCTCTTAATCTGGGCTATTTTCTGAGACAGCTCTGAGTTTGCAAAATACACCCGCAGCCTCTGCTGCTGCAGGTGCGCATTCCATCACCTAATAGTAACTCTTGTAATTTAGAACACTGTAGAATCTCCTTTAAAAGATGATCAACAGAGTTTTTTCTAGGGCACAAAATTATGTTGGCTATTAAAAAGAAAGAAAGCTTTGCCCACGATAGCTGGGTTAAAAAGAAAAATTGCAAAATTTTCATTAAAAAAAAAAGCTGTTATTTATTATCTCTAATTCTTAATTAAAAGACACCTATTCCTTCGTGGATAGAAATAAGTAAGAATTTGGAACATATTTATATTAACAAAGGTGGAATGGAGGAAATTTTAGGAGGTTTCTTTATTTCATGCATGTTTCTGCTATTTCCCACACGTATAACAAAATATAGAACAGGGGTGTCAAACTCAAGGCCCAGGGGCCAGATCTAGCCCTCAGGGTACTTAGATCTGGCCCACAGGGCCATCCTGGAAACAACTAAGGACCAGCCCCACGTGCTTCTGCCAGCAAGAACAGAGCTTGGGGGGAGGGGCGTTCTCCCAAGCTCTGTTTTCATTGGCAGAGGGTTATAGGCGGCTGTGGCAGCTGAAAACGGAGCTTGGGAGCCCATTTTCGCTGGCAGAGAGCTTGGGTCACTACTGGCGCCCTGACATGAATGATGTTGAGCTAGTTACACACATCCTGGCCACGCCTACCCCGGCCCCCGGAGGTCAAACACAACCCTGATGCGGCCCTCAATGAAACAGAATTGAACACCCCTGATATAGAAGATTAAAATACACCAACAAAATTACAACCCATTGACATATATACTTAAAAATAAAAAAGAGTAAAGGAGAAGAAAAATATTAGATACATCCATCGCCTACCCACAGCAAACCTTATTGATATAAACATTTAATACAAATTTATGTTATTTGTATTAAATGTTTATACCATTGATATAGGGTTTATTATCCCTATATCAATGGTATAAATACCATTATTAATATCCAGGTGCAATTTAGGCTGACAAAAGGCACATGAGTCGGGAGTCCCAACTTGAACTAGAAAAGTGAAAGAAGGGGATTTATTTTGTTGCCTAAGAAAACTTTTCCAATCAAGATCCTCTCTCACTTTCTTAAAGCTTCATTTTTTTTCAATTCCAATTTATAGTAATACAGCTACTTTACTACTAAAGTAAAGTGAAAACTTCCCGAGTGGGCAGAAGAAACACTAAGAAAGAGTTATTTTGTCTTTGGCTGATGTACATAACATCGGTCTTGCCTCTCGTCTGTGAACTCCAAGCTCTTTTTTTCCAAAACATACCAAAAAAATGAAATCCCAAATGTTTTTAATTCTTGCAAGAAAAATTAAATTATTCCTCCCTGAGAATGTTTGAAGCCTTTCCTAATTAATTTCAGTTTAGTTCCTACCCTTTTCCCTAGTTAGCATGTTAGTATACTGTGTTGTTTTAGAATTTATTTCTCTAACAGCATGCAAAAATTACAAGTTGCTAACAACAGCATGATGCATGGAAAAACATTATGAGATATGTTGCTATGTTACATACCAGTTTCCTGATATTTTCCTTGCACAGGGACTTCCCAAGCAGTGCCTTTGTTCAACTAATCACTACATATGAGAAACCATTTAGGGAATATTGAATATTCGCTAAATAAACAGTGGATTCCAAACAGCAACATATGTAGACCCTAAGCAACAGATAATGAATTTGCTTGTCTTAAAGCAATAATGAATCAAATTATCTGTAGTACAATATAGTTGTGTATGGCTCTAATTACAGAGAAGTATGGAAAGAACCCGTCAAAATTAAGTTGCTACTAGAATCAACAAACACAAACAATATAATACTCTATGTTTCTATTTATATCTACTTTACTTTAATTTCATAGATATAAAACTGCACTCTAAATGATGATTTAGTGATATTTAGGATTAAGCTTGGTATGCACAATTTGAAAAATTCTTCTAATATTTTTTTTGTTAACTGCTGATTTTGAATTTGACTAGAACTAAAGAGGAAGATTGTTTAATTTTTCCTCATGGATACTTTTTATGATCCAAGTTTTCCCATTGATTGCTTTTATTCTTGCAGGGGAAAAGTTTTCCCTGCAGCAAGAAAAGAAACAGAAGGATAATTTTGACAGTGGAAGCAATATCTGCTATATAATCCAAATCTGATAGAGGAGTAGAAAACAAATTCAGGCAAAAGCCTATTTAGAGAGTAACATTTTAAAGAACATTAATGAATTTTGCAGGCAACCACAGAAGTAGAGATTAAGAAGAAATCCACTGGGTCACTTCTGGTGTCAATGGACCAACTGAATGCTTCATATGGAAGAAAAGATCGAACCAATAGTATAATGACAGTCATAACAAATACCCTTGTAGAAGGTATGTGTAATAGGAATGCATCAATTTCAACAAGTTCATAAGGTCACTATATTTCTAAAGATTATTCCCTTTTCTGTTACTTAATCAACCAGAGCAAAACATCATGATAAATACAAGAACATTAAAAGTATGCAGGTCTTACAAAGTTACAAAGTTCAATCGACATCCAACTCTCAGTTTATATGCATTATTTGATTTATTGGGCATTTGTATTTTGTGCCCCATTTTTAACATGCTCATTGTTATACATGTTTTGATTTTTTTTTAATATCCAAAAAGAATAACTCTATAAATCTGAATTAGGGGTAGCAGAGCCAGCAAATTAAGAATGAGTCAACTCTGCCATTAAGTTTCTTTGAATAGTTTGAATTTTTGATATGTTCATTAATGTTAACTTGGTTCTCATTTTGTTGTGATGATATAGAACTGGAAGAATCCCAAAGAAAATGTCCCCCTTGCTGGTACAAATTTGCTAATACCTTCCTCATTTGGGAGTGCCACCCACACTGGGTGAAGTTAAAAGAGATTGTCAACCTGATTGTCATGGATCCTTTTGTGGATTTAGCCATTACTATCTGTATTGTTCTAAATACTCTTTTCATGGCAATGGAACATCATCCCATGACCCCAACGTTTGAGCATGTCTTGGCTGTAGGAAATCTGGTAAGCAGTTTTTGTGCTAAAAGTTTCCCAATAGCAGCTGGAATGATAAAGAACAGTAATTATTTATTAGATTTTATTACTTTTATTACAAGTAATTCAAGGCAGCAAAGATACTAATACTCCTTCCTGCTCCTATTTTCCCCACAACAAAAACCATGTGAGATGGGTGGACTGAGAGAGATTAACTGGCCGAATCTGGCTTTCATGCCTAAAATGGGACTCGGTCTTCTGATTTCTAGGCCAACACCTTCAACCACCCCCACCACCACAAATCCAGGATACCTGATTACTATTTTGTAATTGTAGAAGAGTGATTGAATTATTCACAATCTCTTCATCAGCCTAGAAAGCTATACTGTATTTTTCACACTGTAAGATGCACTTTCGTTCACCAAAAAAGTGGGTGGAAATGCCTGTTTATAGAGTGAATATTGTGGTGGGGGAGGAGTGGATGCGTGTCACCTGTCACCGCTGCCACCTCATGCTGCCACCAGGGAGCCTTTGCTGCTGTGCGGATGATTGGCGGTTGGATTGGCTTCCTGGAATACCACCAATCAGCTGTTCTAGGTGGTGAGAATTGCTGCTGGCGATCGAGTTGCCGTTCGCCGCTGGCAATTGCCAATGATCACTGCTGCCAAATGGTGACTATAGGTGGCGGCGATAAGTGGCGATAGGTGGTGGCAGCAATAGGCAAACCCTGCTGCTTAGAACATCTGATCAGTGGTATTCCTGGAGGCCAATCCAACCAACAATCAGCTGCTCTGCAGCAAAGGCTCCAGCATTCCCAGTGCCAGTTGCAGCTCAACTCAGTAGACTGGTTGCGGGCGCAATAGTGCGGAGCCCTGACGAGCCATGTGCTGAGGCTGCGATAATGTGTTGAAGCTGACCAGGATATTTGCTCTTTGCTGCAAGGACGCTAGCCACATGAACACCGGATAGATGCTGGGAGGCAGAGGCAGATTTTTTCCCCTTGTTTTCCTCCTCTAAAGCTAATGTGCGTCTTATTGTCCAGTGTGTCTTACAGTGCGAAAAATACAGTATTTTGTTAGACAAATTCAGAAAATTAAGGTGTGTGTGGTTCCACAAAACTCATTTCATACTATTGCCCACAGGGCTATTTTGGGACCATCACAGTTTTAAATGAGATGATTGTATGATTTTTAAATGCTCATCTAATCAGATAGAGAAAGGCCAGGATTGTATTTATTTTATATTTTAATATATGAGATGACTAAGGGATTTCTTCCAGTTTGTTTTGCCATTAAGGAGGACAGCACATTTACAGCAAAATCATTTAAAGCTGTTTGGTGAAGAGGGTTCATCCTGCTTGTGTAATAACCCTACATGATTTTTTACAAAATCCCAATGTACTCAGTATTGCTTTTACTTTTACTTTATTATTTTAATTTACTTTTGAGAGATGGTCGAATATCCACTGTGCTTCTCTTCTTCATTTCACAATGGGATTTCTTTGGAAGACTAAAACCTCAAGTTGGCTCCCAGGAGAATTCTTGGCAGATTCCCCTTTTCTTGCGGTGAAACAAGCATTCAAAATCCAGAAAAAATAATTGTCTTGTTATCAAACTGCAGATAGGGATTTTTTTTTCTTCCTTTCGAAGTTGACAACCCTACCTTAATTCGGTTTAATTGTTCTCTTTCTTTTCAGGTTTTTACTGGAATTTTTACAGCTGAAATGTTCCTGAAACTGATAGCAATGGATCCATACTACTATTTTCAAGAAGGGTGGAACATTTTTGATGGATTTATTGTCTCACTCAGTTTACTAGAACTGATGCTAGCAGATGTGGAGGGGCTTTCTGTGCTGCGATCTTTCCGATTGGTATTCCTTATTTATTTTACACATTGAACAATTGGCTGTAATGTATGTTTATCTGGATATAAGCATAAGAAACTGCTGTTAGGTTCCATTCAAACAAATTATGACGTGCTAATGATGCTTGAGAGATTGAAATTTGTTAAATGCTTTAATTTGCAACCCAAAAAAGTTCCTTGGGGGGGTCTCTGTGATTTCTGCCTATGGTTTCTGTAATTATAGTACTCCATTTCAAATCTTCTATAGATAAATGAAATAAACATGGTTGCTTTTAATGGTACCCTCTTTCCAACTGATGTCTTTTTCAACCAATGGAATAATGGAGAAATACATAATTGTTATGATTCTCCCTAACCAGTGCAGGTCTTTAGGTAGTACAGCTACAATACTGAAGATTCCCCAAACCATGCACCTCCATCTTTTACATCAGTGTATCTGATCTTTCCCAAGTAGCGCCTATGGGAATGATCTGAGGGCCACCATAAATATTCATGCAATTGAAACTAATAGAAAAGGGGTGTCCACGGGAGAAAATTCTATCTGTTATGCAGAGAATAGGAGCAGAATAGTTAAGCAAAATGGAACGAAACAATGTGGTGAAAAACAGATTGCCTCTTGAGTGTTATTGTTGTAATTATTAGCATTATGTATATTTCAGAAGGATACCAGTAGTTAAAAAGAACTCCTTTGTTTATCAAAATGAACTGAATTAATTGACAGAAAAAAATATTTTTACAGCCTGTTAAAATTACTTTTATAGTGTTATATGATAGTATGTAATATATAAAAGAATATTCCTGGAAGGATAAAAATATTCCCATTCCTTAGGGCCAAATGGATCTGAAAACTGGATTAAAGAATACTCCCAAATTGCAATTATGTTTTCATGTTGGGCACAATGTACAATGATAATGATTGACTGAAAGGTTTAGTGATGAGCCTGTCCACCTGAAAATTCATAGTTATAATTCTTTATCTCTAGAGGCGTCCTGTCCAGAGTTTAATTAATGACAGTCAGTTAACCTGTCTTGAAACTGCTTCCTCTGTTTCTATAAGCATTATTTTATGGGTCTCTCCATGTGTGTCCCTCCCCACCCACCCTTAATTAAGTATGTATGTTTTCTTCTTCAACTTGCAGCTGAGAGTCTTCAAACTGGCAAAATCCTGGCCAACTTTGAACATGCTGATAAAAATCATTGGTAATTCAGTGGGTGCCTTGGGGAACCTGACCTTGGTGCTGGCCATCATTGTTTTCATATTTGCTGTAGTGGGGATGCAGCTTTTTGGCAAGAACTACAAGGAATGTGTCTGCAAGATCAACCCTGACTGTGATCTTCCACGATGGCATATGCATGACTTCTTCCACTCTTTCCTTATCGTCTTCCGTGTACTATGTGGAGAATGGATTGAAACTATGTGGGACTGTATGGAAGTGGCAGGACAGGCAATGTGCCTTATTGTCTTCATGATGGTGATGGTCATTGGAAATCTGGTGGTCAGTAAATATTTATGGTTCTTTTTTAAGTGGGAAGTGAATAGCTATCTAGTAGTAATTCAATTTGTCGTTCAGATAGAAGACTAGGAGTTCTATGTAATGGGACTGAGCTACTCATGTAGGTATTCGTTTCTCATGAGTAGCATCATTCTGGGATATTGTGAGAAATTTAAATTACAGCTCCCATATTTTTTAAAAAAAAGCTTTTAAAGAAGACTTCCAAAGGGAAGACCTATCATGACACTCAAATCCTTACTGCCCATGAATGCTAAATCCAATGCTGAATCTGAACTAGCAAGAGGTTTTGGGTAATAATGGATTTAGCAATGGTGTGTGTGTGTGTGTGTGTGTGTGTGTGTGTGTGTGTGTGTGTGTGTGTGAGAATGTGAGTGAATGGGAGGGAGGGAGGGAGGGAGAGAAATTACTTAATGAAATGGTATGGAATTTCAGGACATTAGAGCAGAAAAAATCTTGTATTATTTATGTCAGACAGAATGCTGGTCCCATAGTGTGTTTCATATTTTTATATGTTCCATAACACTGGCCCCACAGTATGATTCATATTTATAAAATATAAATGTTAGAAAGAGTTCCATCTTTTCAAACTGCATACAACTTTTTTAATGTTCATGGGTTTTTTTTAGCAAATGAACATTTTATTACTCTATATGTTTTATTCTTCCCCTCCAAGCTATACAAATTTATTCCTGCATTAAATGTTTTAATTAAGCCAGCTCATTTACAAACAAGGTGAAAGCTTTCACATTCCCCAGAGTTATTTATCAGGAAAAATGACAAAAAATATTGGGGGCTTAAGGTCTAATTTTCACATAAAAACTCATTTTATCTGGCTAATTTTCAATTACTTGTTTTATCTTTTTTCTTGAATTCGTGTTTGCCTTTTTAATTATTATTTTTTTTACAAAAACTTCTTTAAGAAGAGCAGTATCTAAAATGACAAAAATGGGTGCCATCGAGAATAAACTATTAAGTTTAGATTGACTGACTGATTAACTGATTATGTTCTATCAAGTAGGTGTTGATTCTTAGCAACCACATAAATAAATTTCTCCAGGACAATCTGTTCCCAATCAGGCTCTTCAGATCTACTTATGGTGCACTCATTGCCACTGCAATCAAGTCCATTTACCTCATTGCTGGTTGTTCTCTTTTTCTTTTCCCTTCCATCTTTCTCAGCCTTTTAGGTTTCACAAGGCAGTCTTTGTATTACATATCCAAAATGTAATTCAAGTCTGGTCATATGTACCTCAGATAGAATTCTGGATTTATTTGTCCTATGATTCATTTGTTTATTTTATTAGCTACCCATTCTGTTATCAGGAGTCTTTTCCAACAGTGAAGTTCCATAAAGTTAAAATTATTTCTACACTGCTTCTAATTTCAAATTTCTATAGGATCTTACAGTAAAAGACATTGTCTGCATAATTCTGATTTTTGTGGCTAAAGACACATCAGAGCACCTAAGTATCTTTTTTCAAAGCCTTCATTGCTATTCCACTCATGTGGCATACTTCTTGACTAATTATTCCTTTACTATGGGTAAATGAACTTAAACAGCAGAAGCTATTTGCCATCTTAGTATCTTCACAATCAAATATAAGGCTCGTTGACATTCTTTTCTTCTTTATATTTAGCCCTTCTCCTATTTTTGCACACTCTATTAAAACTCCTTTGTTGGGTATAGGGTATCTAAACTGACCCAGTTTGTTGGCCAATATGTCATTCTCCAGATTTGTTGGTATAGTGTATTTAAAATCTCTATTGATTGCTCATCTGTTGTTTGCCATATTTTGTGGATGTGATATCAATTTCTGCAACCTTATGACCCCGTATCATTGAAGTACTCATCTAACTTTATCTGGTGTTAGAGGTTTTTGTAAGTAGGGAAAATTTTGTAAGGGATATTGGAAGTTGATTATTTGTCCATAGCAGCCTGTAGTGTACTACCACAAAGTTGGGACCTCCTTCCAAATTTGGATATCATTTGGAAGACTTCCCTTTTTTTAAATTTAATTTTATTTATACATTTTTTCTTATTTTTCTATGTCTGCTAAATACTTCCTTTGAGATCTTGTGTTTTTTTTTACTTTGGCTTCTCTTCTTGTCAATTTCCACTGCTTGTTCTGACACCCAGTTTCCTTTCTTCTGTTTCTTCATCTTTGGCAACCTGTGTTCACAGTCATCCTTAACTGTGGACTTCATTCCACAGCCCTCCTTATTCTGTATCAATGAGGTTCAAGATTCTGATCTGATTGCTGATATTCTCCTTTAGAATTGTGGATAGAATTTCAAGATTATTTTGTGGATACTGGTTGACTTTCTTCTCCCACTTTAACTTGACTTAGAACTTACACATGATAACTTAGTCCACAGTCAGATCCTGGCCGTGTTTTTGCTTTTGCAACTGAGCTTTTCAACTTCCTTGCACCAATATAAATTTGTCTGTATGTGATATTTGGAGATTATCACGCTTATAAGCATTATTTTGGTTGTTTGAATGATGTCATTCTCCTGCTTCATTTCTGTTTTCTAAATCTTACAATTCAATTACATTTCTTTCTTAAGATTTCCAACTTTAGTACTCCAGTCTCTTGTTTGCCTGATCTGTTGTTTTCAGATTGAATTTGATCATAAAACACATTAAACATCTTTATGCATCAGTGTTTGGAGCATCAATTTGGATAATCATCATATTAATGGGTTGTCTACGAAGTCTAAGTGATATTATTGACTGCATTGTAGCCAAGTGCATACCATTTCTGAGTATGAAATCAATGCTATTCCTTTTAAGTTTTTTGTGTACTGAACAATAAACTATATTATTTTCTGACTGAAAGGGTCTAATTCTAGTCCACTTCAATTGACTGATGCCCACATTCCAATGTGTAGTCTATTGATTTTATTGTTCACTGTATTGAGCTTTACCACGCTCAAGCTTAAATTCCAGGGTCCATTTTAAACATAATTAGTTTCCAAAAGATCCTCAACTTTTTCCTCCCTAGCATTTTGAGTGCCATCTGAACTGAAGGGCCCATGACCCAGCATTGTATTGTCAACAATCCTATATTGACTATCCATATGTTTGCTTGGTAAAAATAGAGGAGTGGTTTACCCATTGCCTTCTTTCATGCAGTATTTGCTATTCTCACAAAATTGATCATCTGCCTCATATCCTCCTATATCACTGCTATCCAATGACGAGTTCTGTTTGCTTTAGCTGGCAGTTACGATGCTATTCCCCATAGGTTACCCTGCTGGGGTATATATAATTTTGGATACACTCAACCTTCCTGGGGAACACCTCCCAACCCCACTCTACCCCTGTGATGAGGCGGGTCTCTTCACTTGAGGAGATACAATTATGTACTGTATTTCAAAATGGGGAATCAAATAAGATGCTTAATTCCCTATATTAAATATGCTAGATTTAAAAATGGTCCCAATGCTAATTTTCCAGTGTTATTAGGAGAAACAAAGTGAATCACCCAACTGTTCAAATGCTGGATAGAATGCATTCAATGCAAACAGCATTGAATATCTATATAATCACCCTCTCTTCAATCATGATTCCAAAATTTGCTTTCTTTCCACATTGCTTCTTGAGATGCTTATACTAGCATCATTATCTTGAATGGGTTGAAAATAGAAAAAAATGGAATATGTATGAATTACAGCTGTGCCATGCTTCAGATTCCAAGGAAAGATTTTGCTATTCTAGGAAAAGAATCAGTTGTTTCAGGGAGTTGCAGATTGAGGCCATGTTTGTACCCTGTACAATAAGAAGCATCTTTTGCCCTTGAATTCAAAATGTTTCACAACCTACTATATGTCCGTGCAAAAGGGTGGTGGTGGGGAGAGCAAATTAATTAAAAATTTGGTCACATTCCGCCTGTAACCAAAGAAAGTCTTTCAAGGGTGGCAGGGGGAAAAAACAGAATAAAATATATAGTTCCAAATGTTGAGGTTTATGATGCAGTTGCTGTCTCTAATCAATAAGATTTCATGCTGCACCCAGAAAGATTCTATTAACTTCACAGGTTTTTTTTTATTACTGCTTTCTTATAAGAATGAATGAATACATAACTGAATGAGTGAATGAATGAAATACACACAGACATGCTATGTATATAATGTGTGTGTGTAAGAATATGTACTTAAAAATGTATTGTATTATAGGAGTGTTTATACACACATATACATACGCATTAACACACACATACCATCTATATGTGTGGCACCGAATTACAAAATGAAAAAGGGAGAGAAAAATCAATAAGCAAATTCATTCTTACTTAGCAGTTATCAGAGAATTATTGTTGTTTTACTGGTGTTATTGAAGGAGCCTATTGGCAATTTGGTTCCCAGCAAAGCTGTCTCACTTTTCCTTCTACTGCCAGATGAAAACAGTGTTTTTGTGGGAGAAATGCAGCAATTGTCCAAAGAGAGCTTGTTAAGAAGCATTGCCCTGATCTGCCTTTTCTGCTCATTCAGGTGCTGAATCTGTTCTTGGCCTTGTTGCTGAGCTCTTTTAGTGCAGACAACCTTGCAGCCAGTGATGATGATGGTGAAATGAACAACTTGCAGATCTCTGTCATCCGCATCAAAAAGGGCATTGCTTGGATAAAGATTAAAGTGCATGAATTTGTACAGACGCACTTCAAGCAGAGGGAGGCAGATGAAGTGAAGCCACTGGACGAGCTGTATGACAAGAAGATGAACTGCATTGCTAACCATACAGGGGCAGATATCAATCGGGAGATTGATTATCAGAAGAATGGGAATGGCACCACCAGTGGCATTGGCAGCAGTGTAGAGAAGTACATCATTGATGAAGACCACATGTCATTCATCAACAACCCTCACCTCACTGTCCGTGTTCCCATTGCTGTGGGTGAGTCTGACTTTGAGAACCTCAACACAGAAGATTTCAGCAGTGACACGGACGCTGGCGGCAGCAAAGAGGTATGACCCGATGCTCAAACCATGTTGTCATGCCATCATCTGGAGTAGCCATTTGTATTCCGGGGTGACAAGAGAACAAAGCTTCACAATGAAGTGGATTGATGTTTTGATCAGAGTGCTAGGTTGTTGTGAAGCATAAAGGGGGTTGATGGCTATAGCATAGAGCCTTGCAATCAGCAGATGCCCATAAATCTGGTGTTGTTATCCATATTTGGAAAAATGCATCTTAAAATAATGAAATGCTTTGTACAGTATTAATATATCACTCATAGGAATTAAAGGAAAGACCAGCTGCAGCAAATTAAAGATAAATTTGGGAAATGCAGAAGCTGGTAGATAATTAAATTCCTATTTACATTTTTTTCTGGCTAGGCTGTTCAGGTCAGAATCAATTTCCTCAGTCTGAAAACCAGGTGTTTTGAGGAAGTAAGACAAGGAAATATAATACTGTTAATACTGAGTGGCACACTTCTACAGAAAAATGAAAGTCTGTTTTATTAATTTGTCTATTACAGGTTGACCTAGGGCTTATTTTATCATCCCTATCTCGGCTCTTCCTCTCAATTTTCTCAACACTAATCATTCTTGTTCCCTCAGTCTCTTCTTTTAAGATTTTGTTTTGAGTCTCCAGAATATCCTTGTTTTGTTTTCTGTGAAGAGTCTCACCTGATGTTCTTGCTATCATATTTATTCCAGAAGCTGGATGATACAAGCTCATCAGAGGGGAGCACCATAGATATAAAGCCAGAGGTAGAAGAGGTACCTGTGGAAGCACCAGAAGAGTACTTGGATCCTGATGCATGCTTTACTGAAGGTGATACTGAATATGGGGTATATGTAAAAGTCCTCAGGACAATGGGAAGAATTCATCATTTTTCATTTGCTGCAAAGTCCACAACATAATATCATAATACAATATAGGGACTTTGGTGGACATTTACATGGCAGTTCATACAACAATTGCCTTCTGCAGTTTCTGCTTTAATTTTTTTGAAACAATAGGAATTTCAAGATAAACTTAATAAAACAAACAACCAACTGAAAAAGGAAAGATGGTGTTCTGACCCAGCCTTAGCAGAAGCAAGAAACAGACTCCTTCTCATGAAAAATCCCTCTTTATTTATCTCTTGTGAATTAATTGCATTCACCCACCAAAAAGTCCAGGCAATAGTCTTTCAAGGAGTTAACTGCAGTAACAGACCTTATCAGTTCCTTGCAATAATTGCAAGGGCCTGACCTCCCTGCCAAAAGGCTGCAAGTTAAATTCTGGCAAGCAGTCTTTGTGGCACGAAACACAATGAGCAAAAGCTTCAGAAATATGAACCATTGTCTCCTACGACAACTACTTTCTTTCTATTTATTCACCAGCCAGGGAGGGACCATCCAACGTCCATGTGTGCTTTGCTTCCCGAGCCGACTCCTTGTCCTCTGTTGTTCACCTCTCTTAACTGTTCTGCACATACGTGCATCTGGAACAGGCCCAGATGTTCTTCTTCCTCACTCATATCAGCATCCAGAGGCAGCTGCCTCTCTGGTGGCTGGGAAATGTCAGACAGTCCTGGCTCTATCTCTGTGTCCAACACAGAGCATCGATCAGAGCTTTCGCCAGACTCCAGCACTGGTCAAAGTTCCTCCCCAGCCTCCTCATCACTGTGGAAATATACAAAAAAACTGTTCAATAGTTATGGGCAAGGAACTTTTTCCTCACTATGGCCTCTATATGTTGAGGATAGGGCTAAATGGTGGGCAGGTACACCTTCTATGATAGACGTGGTGAAGAATGGCTTCCCAAAATGCATGACTGAAAGATTTATTTGTTCAAGACTGAATATTGTATCATGACAATTCTGGTGAGCAAAGGTCGAAGGCTGGGGCCATGTACCATGCTTAGAGAACCTCAAACATTGGAGTTAGTGGTAATAGTTGGAGCAGAGGAACTGCACAAAATGACTGAACTGTGAGTCCTTCTGGAATAAAGATCATGCACATTTGGCAGTGTGTTTCTCACAATCTGCTTCAGCTCTGAATGAACAGGACAAAGGTAGATGCATTACTCATATGGGTGATGCACAGAGACCACAACAAAGAATCAATGTTATATTTCTATTCTTAGCCTTTTAATTTGGTTTAGGTATTCCTTCTACCTTCACTTGTTCAATGGCCTGATTAATCCCATTTGGAGGGAATGGTGAATGTAATAAATCCAACCCTTATGTTTGCCTGGGCTGCATTGAGTGAAAAGGAATTTTCTTGGGCCACATATAAAATATATACTTTTATAATATAAAATCATATAATAATGTTAAAAGTTTACAATCTTGTGAGGCCACATTGCTAGCTATCCGGGGCCATATGTGACCCATGGGCCACAGATTGGAGACATTTGTAATAAATCAAATAGAATGTGAAATTATATTAATATTATAAATTTTCACCAATCTCTAAAGTATCATGAAGAAGGTGCAAAGATGCTATTTAACCACATGATTGAAACTATTATGCCTCTTATAATATTTATAGCAATATTTTACTATATTATTTTATCAAATCACTAACTTGTTTCCTTTTGATAACATGTTATTAGAGGTTTGAGATCTAACTATTAAACTTGCACAACTCTACAGATTTGTACATCTGTAAAATCTTTTGTAATTCAGTGTTAATTTTAATTGACAGCATTTTGGAATGAATGAATGAATGAATGAATGAATGAATGAATGAATGAATGAATGATGGGAAAATATCTTACAGCTGGAAAATGTCTAACTCTTGGGATTGTTATCTGTAACAAAATTAATAACAAAATTAATTTTACCTTTGCAGGCTGTGTGCAACGGTTCAAGATCTGCCAAGTCAGCATAGAAGATGGACTGGGAAAGTCTTGGTGGAATTTAAGAAAGACGTGTTTTCTCATTGTGGAACATAACTGGTTTGAAACCTTCATTATCTTCATGATCTTGCTCAGCAGTGGAGCTTTGGTGAGCAACATTTTGTTTTGTTAGTCAAACTGAACAGTATGTGAAATTCATGAATCAACTGCAAATGTCTTCTCTTTTTTGGGAGAAAAATGTTAGGTAGCAGCAACCAGAGGTGTCCTAGTTGCATGGTAGGAAATTATTCCTCCCTGGCACATTCACAGTGAAAATCATCCCTAAAGCTACTGCAGAAGGATTTTGTAGTAATATATTTGACTGCTTTTTAGGCTATTCCATATATTCCTGCAGGACCTTACACTGAGGTGGAAGAGTCTTTTAGGGAAAAGATTGGCCTCTTCTCCCCTTGCAACAGTATTTCATGTTCATGACAAGGCTTAAGGTGCTTAATTTTGTCTCAGGTGCATTTTGTAATAAATACTAAATGGCCATTTGTGCTTAGCCAGAGAAGCATGAGAATTATGTACTCTAAATCCCTATCTGAAAACAATACTGTAGTCTTTCCTCTGCTGGTTTTGGTCCCTCCTTAAGACTGGGCAGTATGGAAACAAAGAGAAGATCTCAGACAGATCAAATCTGACAAATATCATAATGTTTGATTTTAGGAAGGAAACAGGGGTAGTAATTGGGCTCTAAAGATCTGAGCTTAACTCCTTTGCCTCGTTAGGCAGGCTTTGAGTTAATACAGGTAGTCCTTGACGTATGAGCAGATTTCTGGTCATAGCCTTTATGGCACAGGTAGGTTACCAATTTTTCTACTACCTGTTCAGGCGCACTCCTGTGTGCATTCATGCATGCATGTGATACTTTACGCATGCACAGAAGTGCCCGGGAAGATGGGCAGAGCCTCCCGACACTCACTCAATCCGGGCCAAACCAGCAGCAACCCACCTCTGCTTTATGGTCGTAAGTCAAGGCAACCACATAAGGTGGGGTTCCCAACTCCTGGGCCATAGCCCGCTACAAGACTGTGGCCTATTTGCAACCAAGTTGCAGGCTGGCCCATGTAAGCGTGTGTGGGTGCAGCTTGACTTACACAAGCAGCGGGCCTGGGCACACACATATCTAGACTTGTGGTGTGTGCATGTACGTGCGCACCAGTCCTTCACTTGCACAAGTCAAGCTTGTAAGTCAAGGGAACCTGTAGTTAAATGCTGGGAGATCACAAAAAAATATATGTGTGTAAACTGAATTCATCTACAACAGCATCCTCTAGAAGAATCTACCGTATTTTTCAGAGTATAAGATGCACCTTCCCCCCCCCCCAAAAAAGAGGGAGAAAATCTGGGTGCATCTTATACACTGAATACAGCATTTTTGGCCTCCCGAAATCGCCCCTTTCACAAAAATGGATGTGCAGAGGCTTTGGGAGGCCTGTAAAGTGCTTTTTGTCCACCCAGCCCCCAGGAGCACTCCAAAGCCTATGCATGCCCTGTGTTTTGCAAAAAAATGGGCCATTTTTGCCCCCCCCCCCCAGCTCCCAAGAGCACTTTCCAGGCCTCTCAAACACTCTGCAGGCCCCATTTTTCACAAATAATGAGTCGTGCAGAGGGTTTGGGAGGCCTGCAGAGTGCAAAAACCTTTTTAAAAAATTTACCTTTTCAAAATCTTGGTGCCTCCTATACTCTGGTGCGACTTATACTCCGAAAAATACAGGAGATCAAAACAAACCACCTTTGTAGCTCTCTAATGCCAAGACTAAGATATAATAATAATTACTGTTTTTTTGTTCCTTAGGCCTTTGAGGATATTTATATAGAACAGAGAAAAACAATACGCACCGTCCTGGAATATGCTGACAAAGTCTTCACCTACATCTTTATCCTTGAAATGTTGTTGAAGTGGTGTGCCTATGGATTTGTGAAATTCTTCACAAATGCCTGGTGTTGGTTGGATTTCCTCATTGTAGCAGTAGGTATCTTTTTTTCTTTTTGCTGCTTTTTTGAAGAGATAGTATCTCTATTTAAATAAATAAGACCTCACATTTTTACCCTTTTTTCTTTCTAAATCTTTTCTAAGGCAAAACATTCTGTTGTTTCCATTCTTATTCGCTACAACCCAAAATGTTAATTGTTGAGGAGGTTTTCCATATTTCACTTTCAGGTCCACTCTTTCACTGAGATTCGAATGAGGAATGAACTTGAGAAAATGCCACAAAAATAGTAAAGACAGATAGAAACAAGCAGAAATGCAAAGCAGATTTAACTTCTATTGCTCTATTAAGATGCATGAATTCTCCTTCCATCAAAAATCTCAAACAAAGAAATGAATCACTGAGTTCTACAATGTGCTGATAGAGTGAGAATGCATTAAAGCTATCTTACCTTACCTAAAATAAAATAACAAAAAAAATGAATTGGAAAAATTGAAAGGCTCGCATTCAAAATTTATCTTGATCTATCTTGGTCAAAAGTGAAAGACACGTTTGTACCACTGCAAGAATATGTTTGCTTCTCCTTAAGAGATAAGATCTTTGGTGAAAAATGCAGTCTCTTTCAATTCCACTAGAGAAGGTTTAAATGATTGTCTTTTCAGTTCTTCTTCCCCGTGCTGCTTTCAGCATCTCTTGAATAATGTGGCCTTTCCTTCAAAATCTTCACCAGTCATAGGCATAAGATATGGAGGAGACAAATTATGAATAGTTACAAATATTAGATAATATTCCCAAAGCCACTTTACAGAACTATTGTCTTTTTTTGTCACAATTTACCCTTCAAAAGACTGAGATCCAAAAGGCAAACTGAACACATACTTGCCTCATGCATGTATCTTACATTTATATACCTAATTTTTAAATTCTAATTTAATATACTTTGGGTCTCAAAATACTTATTTTCTTGAAGCAATGGGAATGTCCATTGACCATCTGTATTATTTATTAACGTGCTATTTTTGTGGAATAGAAGACCTGAAAGTGATGTAATATTTTCTGGTCCTTACTTGTATATAGCGTTATTGTTAATGTTGCCACTTAAATGAAATTTACAAACAATGCATTAAATGTTTTTAAATTGTGGGCAGAAGCAAAATGAAGTTGACCTTGATCTTTTAAAACAAAAGTCCATCCTACTCTTAGCTAAAAAGGCATTAGCGGTCTGCATGATTTAATGTTGCATTGTTAATGGGAAATACTGTGATCACTAATATTTTTTTACATTTGGGGACAATTTTCTTTTCTTGTTCTCTTCAGATTTCCACAGACATTGAGTATCTTTGTGCATTTGTTTCCCCACATACATCTTCAGTATAGTTCGTTACTACTGTGCTGCCCTATACTGTTTTATTTTTTGTTTCATTCTTTAGGAAAAAATGTAATTACTATTAGTCCAATATCAAAATATCAAATCTATATATGAATTTATCATTTGAAAACTAACATATTATCTTGTGTAAATAATCAATATGTTTCTAATTAGTCCAGAGTTAAGGTTCAACGTTTAGAGAAATATATCCTGGATCTATTTTTAAAACAAAAATAATATTCAATGTCTGTTTGTGTTGAGAAAAAAATCATCTCCTTAACATAACTGTCGTTCCCTAAGTGTATTTTTTTTTCTCCAAGGGGATCTTTAAGCTCCAAAATTTAGATTTTTATAAGATTATCCTTTTCTTTCCTATATTGCTTATCTACAAATGCAAACCATAAATGCAATGCAAGACCATTCCTAATTCCTATCCATAAGCATTGTTCTAAAATTGGATCCTCAGCACTCTTGCTAGAAAGTAAGGCTCATTGAACACAGTGGGACTTACTGTTGAGTAAACCAAACATGGATTTGTTTTTTTGGACAGATGTTGATATCATATTTACCCCTAATTTTGAGTGAATAGTATTTTAAAAGTGTGATCTAACTATATTCACCTCAATACCTGTTTTTCATTAACAGTTATTTACCCATAACTGCTAATATTCAGAGGGATTTCTATATCTTCAGAATCATCTGGAGAGGAGGCAAAAAAGTCAAGATATGGTCATGACTACATGATTGAAAGTTCATCCTTTTGTACATGTGTCAATGTCTCCCACATGCAAACAAAGCACTGGGGCATTGGTCATGTAATCATGGCCATCAGCCTGGAAAAAAAATAACATGACCTCACTTATTCAAGTCCCTGCAACTCATAAGATATCCACATCATTTTGTTTCAGTGTGTTGGAGATGTGTGAAAAAAAATCCAGTCGCTTTAATAAATTTCAGAGGGCAACTGAGGCTGAAAGAGCTTCTTCTAAAACAGCATTGCCCACTTATCCTCCTTCAAGAAATAGAAGTTTCTTCCTGCTAAGATCTTTAATTGTTGAGACAGGAAACATTCTCATTTATAGGACCCTACAGAAGAGACTATCCTAGATAACATTTTTTTTCATCCATTTCTTCTTTCTTGCTTAAGAGAGCATCTCTGTTCCAAACCCCTAGCATTCATTCAGGATTGGCTAAAAGACCAGTTTTCAGAATTTGAAAGTCTGTTCCATCTGACATATTCCAGTGGAAGCGATTAGTCACATCTATTACTTTTCATTGAAATCAATGAAATTTAAAATACAATTATATTCATGTCTACTAAGAAGTAAGTTGCATTGAGTTCACTGGCTCTTATTTTGGGTGTAATTATATCATATTAAAGGAATATGTCCCATAGTTACAATTGTCTATTAAGATATTTTATCTTTCAGTGCTTTTGCATGGATGGGCAAAATATTGCTGAAGTACAATTATGAATTGTCTGACATTTTAAAAATAGAATTATTTTTTTAAAAAAATTAGATATTTTACCATTATCCCAACACTGATACATTTTCAAATACATTTCTGGTTTCATTTATTGTAAACTGATGTCTTTATCAGTTTACCTATTTTTTTATTTATTGACTTATTCCCACTTTTCAGTTATTAGGTTTTCAAATTTTCTTTTATCCACCCTCCATTTAGTTCAGGTATTCTAGTGCTCCTTGACCAACTTACAGAGTCCATCTATCATTTCCTTAACCAATACAGAATAGATAACTTATTGGGCCATGAAACATTGGCATTTTGAAAACATGCAATTGAAATACTGACAAAATAGTTGTGATAGGAGATTTGCTTATTAAAAAATGGCTTCATGTTGGACACGGCAATTGGAATTCCACTTGAACAAGATTGGGGTGAACAACAGTGAAGGGATCTGAAGATAGACCCATGTTGCCTACCTTATAATTATTTATTTTTTCACATGTATGTCCTGACACTATCCTACACAGACTCTCTGGGGTTCACAGAATAAAAAAAAATAGCAATAACATTGAAAAAATTGTAACATAAAACCAGAAGTCAAAATAGACAAACCTAAACTTTGAAGAATATTTGGTGTCAGTCCCCAAATGCACTCTGGAACTGAAATGGTTCTGGAGGGAGACCAAGACTGGGGCCAAACACACCTGGTGGAAGCCATTCCAGAAGGCCAACCCTACAATGGACAAACTGTTTCTGGAGCGAATCTTCCCAAAATGGGAGACAATCAATTGTCTATGGAGATTCTCAATCATCCAGGTCATGATTATCCCCAAGGCTTTTATGGATTTCTTTGTTGATCAACCAAGAAAGTCCAGTTGCTTTTTGAAGAGTACTTTGAGATAATCAGTTGCTTCTCCCAGCCAGATCAAATATATATTACTAGACTTTCAAAGCTTCAGCATATTATTCTCCAATCTGGTTGCCAGCCCTGAAAAAAACACTGTCCTTAATTTTAGTTCTTTGGCAGTTGCTTAAAAGTACTTTCCTCTCCTTTGGAGCATTCCTGGCAGTACTACTGTATTCTATTTAATTAACATAAATGTTAACTAAAATTAATATTTTTAAAACAGTCTGCAATAAAGCATGGCTTACTTATGGAAGGTTACGTTTCAACATGATAGGCAAGATGTTTTAGGGAGAAATAAGTGAAAATATTTCTTTTAAAGGTAGTACAGTACTGAAATTTCTGTGTACCCTCATAGGTACATATGTGCCGTGCATCCCATAATATGTATCAAAAGAGAGAATGAGAGACAAAGAAAGAGGAAGAATTTTAGTTTATCCATACTTACTCTTTATGTTTCTGTAAAAGCTTAAGTGCTATGCAGGACACCACATTATTATTACAGTTGGTTGCAGCCAGCCAAATGTTTAGATTGGATCTGGCATTTTGATCCACATACTGAGTCTCTCCCAAGGACTTTGGCTAGGCAAATGTTATTTTATTATTTTCCCAAATCCACTGCAGGTTGAATGGCTCTACATTGAATGTTATGGACCTGTAATTCTGTTGCTACAGTGCAGGTCAGTAGATAGACTATATAGCCTATAATCAGAATCAGAGGTATGTTGAGCCTGGTCATATTATTTGTACTTATTCCAGAACTTCCAGAGCAAAATGGGAGCCAATCCTGGAAGCAGCCGCCATACTGCAAATGGTAATAATTCATGAACTGGCTCCCAGAATGCATTCCCAGGCATTAGAACAGGAACTGGCATCTTATGCTGAACTCCAATTTCAAATGTTGTAGAACCCCCGATTCTCATCAGTCCTATCCTGTATAAACATTGGCAAGAAGCTAACATGCTGCATTCCAACATGATGCATACTTTGCAATAAAGAATGTCTGTGGAGATTCTCAGTCATGCAGATTATAGTTGTCTCAAAAGTGCTATTTTTTCCAATTGCTTTTTGAAAAAGACTCCAACTGCCTATTGAAAAAACACCTTTGTGCAATAAAGAGTACAGCATCCCCGACCTGTAGTACAATGCAGTCCTATTATAACTTAACAATAAGAGAAAACAATACCCTTCTCCACTAGATGGCCTTCAGATTCTTTGGATTGCAATAGCTATTCATGCCACCTATTCCCCACACCAGGAAACAGAAAGCTAATATGAAACCTTCAGAAAGTCTTTGCTCTGACACAGAAGGTTTCTTAAGAAACAAACTGCTCTTTCAGAGTAGAAACACGGAAAGCTGGATATTTGTTTTTCTCTTAATTTTGGGATGCGATGTCAGTGGGTCATCCCACATCCCCATCCCCATCTGAATGAGAGAATTAAGGAGGTTTGTGCAGTGTGTGTATTTATCTGTATTCTTTTTCATAGGTCCTTTAAAAATTTGTCTGGCTTAATTTAATGGGAGCTGCTGGGATCCTGCAGACTGTTAAGAGGGCGAGGGTAAGGTTCTTGTCATCCGTTTGGGCTCCTAATCTCCAACAGACCCTGTTTCCGTCTGTGTGTGCCTGTGCCTCTCTTTCTCTCTCTCTCACTTATTTTTCCCCCTTTGTTTTATATTTATGCCTCTCTCAACTACATTATTTCCTTCCAGGTCCTTTCAGTGAAGTGCTGTAGGCAGCTGATGGCCATTGCCTTCTTCGGTGTCACTGTAAACGGGGGTGGCTCGGGCCTACAGTCCAATTTGGGGGATGAATATACTGCCAGTGCTAGGGGATTTATGCTAACAGTCTGGAACCTCTTCTTTTTTCTTTTTTCTTTTTCCTTTCTTTTCCTGTTTTCTGTGTAGGTCTCTTTAGTCAGCCTTATAGCTAATGCCCTGGGCTACTCGGAACTAGGTGCCATTAAATCCCTTAGGACACTCAGAGCCTTGAGGCCTTTAAGAGCGTTGTCCCGATTTGAGGGGATGAGGGTAAGATGCCATTAGCGAGTTGATCCTTCTGCATGCCTGTGGATTATGGGGTGTTTTTTTTTAAAGCATGCTAGAACTGATCAAACTGGTAGAAAGACGTAACAAACAGAATCATGATGCAGCTGCTGACGTGATCACTTCCCTCTGTTTATGATTCACCATCACCCTGCTGCACAGTTCTCCCTTTTTTTATTTGACGATTGCCATAATAATAACAACAATAACAGACTAATTTTTAAAAAAAGGGAGATATATTAAGCTGCCTCATTATTGGCCCAAACCACATGTCATTTGTAGATTCTTTGTTGGCACTTGGCTGCTCTTTTTTGGCCTGGCTTTTAATACCTGTAACATTCAAGGGGGCATTTATGGCTGTAAATCTGGAACAGGGAGAATCACCAGGTGCAAAGAATCAGAATTTGAACCACCTCAAGTTTTTCTTCTCCCCTCCCCCCAAGTTATGATGGATCAAAAATGAGATCAAAACACAATGGTTGGTTTTCACGTTGCTCCTGCCTTGTTTGGGGGTATATTCAGGGTTGCAGAAAAGGGCTGGATATGGGGAGGGGGAATCTAGTGCTCCCCCCAAATAAAAGATTTCTGGTTTAATTCCTCTGATTTGCACCTCGTTGTTCTCAGTCCAGTCCGTTAGTGACTGGCAGCCTTGACTGATAGCTCAGCTTTTCTCCCTCTTTTTTGTTTCCCCGTTGACATGCTTTATGCCCCCACTCCACTCTCCCCTGTCACTGTGATGTTAGTAACAAATCACAAGCAAAGCATAGAACCTGAACTTTCTAGAAATTATTGCAATATGCCATTTTATACATATTGAACTTATCCATGTTTTAAAGGAGATTGCCAATTTAATTTTTTGTAATGCATGGCATATAAAAAAAAGATACAAGTTTGAAAGCTGTGAGCCTATATTTTATTAAGGAATGAGCCCTTCTGAATGCATAGGATTGGGCGGTATGTGTGGTGCATTCTCATACAATCTCTTAATTGAAACAATATTGATAGAATGAAAAATAGGAGAGGTTGCAGAGAAGAGATTCAACCATTCAAAAATCTGAAAATATCTGTGTTCAAAACAGATCCTAAAAACAAAAACAAAAAGTCAGGGATTATTAGTCATTAGCTCAACCTCTAAAGAGACTTTGTTTAGCCTGAAAGTTTCAATTAAAATCCAATGTTATCCCAAAATTGCACATTATACCTGCTCCAAAAGGATATTGAAGTGGGTGCATTACATAATTATGTTTACTGAATTACATTGCTAAAGTTCCATCAGTTTGGTTTTACATGGAAATTAGTTGTTACTTCTGCTATTAATATCTTCCTGTGTTGTGTAACTGTAAAAATAAAAACATCCTTATTTAACTTTCTCCACATACTAAAGACAAATATACAGAGACAGGGGAGTTATTCACATAGAGAAACAATATGCAACATTTTGAGACCTGGATATATAACTGTATAATTGTATAATAAATTGTGGCCAATCCTAAGAAAATTGTGGTTGTAGAACAACCATTCTTTTCAGTGGGACTTCAAAATGATCACGTTCAGTTATCATTTCAGGTTTGAATTTGTTAGTCTAGGCAGAACTAAATTAACAGGACAGTCTTGTTCATTTTTTTAAAAAAATTGAAATCAGTCCCACTGGTTTTGGTGGGCTTAACTCTGTAGTAGTAAATGTGTTCAGGATGGCAGTGTTAGACCTTGACCAAATGCAATGGAATGTACTTCAGATATGAATGTGGACTAATATTTGTTCTGACTTGTACAAATGTTACTTTTAAAAATATCTCAACAGCTGCTTTTATTGTAGTTACTTTCAAGAGAAACTAGTGTTTCTAATGAAAGTATTGTAACATAAATTATCAGACATTTTAGCTAACTTGGCTTGGAAAAAATGTTTCCCAGCATCTTTATAATAGAGAATGGCTCCTTTCTGGTAGGAATTTTAATGCTAGTTAGAAATTATTTACATCTATATATCATTCAGGCCTTACCTTCTTTTTGCCATCAGTATAAACTGACTTCATGAAAATAAAAAACAACAGGAAATATTTTTTTCCTAAATAGCATTAAATAGCTATTTGCTTTTCTCTATGGCTTAACAACTTAATATTTTAAAAATATCTTCAACTCTTTATATTTGGGGGGAAGGAATTAAAATATTGTTATGAAATATGCATGCCCTACTTTACTATTTCTAATATATAGTTGTCACACAAAAGCCATGTTCCCTTTCTCATAATAGTTTGCAATGGTTTTGATAATTTGTTTAAACTATGGGCATAATGATTACATTGTAAGTGAATCCTGTTAGACAAATACACAGCAAATCAAAATGCAACATAGTGTCAAGTCACAATAATATGACCAATAAATTTACGTGGTTTTAATTTAATTCATTATCACCCATCTCAAGAACAAAGAATGAGTTTTTTAAGTTTTCAGTTGGTATCTGAAATATAGGCTGATAACGTTGAATTTAATAGTTTCTGTTATTTCTGATAGGCCTCTATTCAGAAGTCAATGGGCTGTTGATTGCAATAATTTTGCTGCTTCATACAATGCCTAACTTTTGCAGAGGATTATGCATCTAAGCACAAATTATGCTATGTCACCATTGTGAAACTTAATGTAAAATAATGGCGCCATCTGTTGACACTTTAAAAAATACAGTAATCAGCAGAAAGTAGATGAGGGTTTTTGACTGGAGGAAGTTCAGGAGACAGAGCTGACAGAAGAAGACAGGGAGATTACAGTGCCATGAGAGCTAATTCCTACTGCTGACATGCATTTTGACCTTGCACTAGGAATACTTTCCTCATGTCCAGTCAATGGGAAAGGCTCTGTGCAGAAGTTTTCCATATTCAACAGAGAAACAACATTTTTCTTTAACATCCAGATTAGGGGGGTTATTTTTTACTATGGGAGAGGTTCACAGCCTATTAGTAGGGAGGGAGAACTTGGGACGTGGTGGCTCAGTGGTTAAGACACTGAGCTTGTCAATCAGTTGCAGTTCAACTGTTCAAATCCCTAGCGATACGTAATGGAGTGAGCTCCCGTCACTTGTCCCAGCTTCTGCCAACCTAGATGTTCGAAAGCATGTAAAAATGCAAGTAGAAAAATAGGAACCACCTTTGGTGGGAAGGTAACAACATTCTGTGCACCTTCAGCATTTAGTCATGTCGGCCACATGACCACGGAAACATCTTTGGACAGCGCTGGCTCTTCGGCTTTGAAACAGAGATGAGCACTGCCCCCTAGAGTTAGGAACAAGTAGCACATATGTGCAATGGGAACCTTTACCTTTAGGGAGGGAGATGTGCCTAGTTCTCCCATTTTCAGGAGTTTGTTGTAAAAAAGGTCTTAAGTGGCATTTCTTTTAAAAGAAATATTGCCTAAAAATCAGTGTCGTGTTAGAAATTAATGCTGAAGGCAACAAAGGATGCCAAATATTAGATCTCTGAAAATCATTATAAGGAGTGATCATAGCTGGCAAAATAATGGAAATACATTCTCACTCAAGTGGAGAAATGTGAGTGACAGTATTCAAAATATTGTGTAAATCTAAAAAAATGATGCCTTAACATCTTCAAAATAAGTGCATCATGCTTGTTTCTATGTGTTTCAGAGTATCTGTTTGGGAAGATGTGCATAGTCCTACCATACAGCCCTTTCTCTTTAAGAATGAATGGTGCAGTATGTATATTAATAGCTTCCTGCTCTGTAAATTAAATAATTTCAGAATGATAGCTTTAATTTTCTCATTCTGAAACAAAAGAGATGTTTATTGATTGTCTTATATGTTAGACCAACAATACAAATGACACGTCTTCATTTCTGTATAAATATTAAGGGAAGGAAGGAAGGAAGGAAGGAAGGAAGGAAGGAAGGAAGGAAGGAAGGAAGGAAGGAAACTGTAAAACATGAGTTTCATTTGCTGT